TGGTAACCACCATATCATCTACATAGAGGATCAGGGCCGTAAGCTTTCCACCACGACGCTTTAAGAACAATGTGTGATCTGAGCTACTCGGAGTATACCCAAATCGTTTCATGGAATCAGTAAATCTCCCAAACCAAGCTCGGGGTGATTGCTTTAGCCCATACAGAGATTTTCTCAGTTTGCATACGGTATTAGGACTGGATGTCATAGGAATCCCTGGTGGTGGATCCATATATATTTCTTCTTGTAAGTCCCCATGAAGAAAAGCATTTTTTACATCATATTGCAGTAGTAGCCAGTCAAGATTTGCAGCCAAGGATATGAGAACACGTACAGTGTTGATTTTGGCAACTGGTACAAACGTCTCCTGGTAGTCAATTCCATATGTTTGTGTATATCCCTTGGCCACTAATCGAGCTTTGTATCGGTCTATGGATCCATCAGCTTTGTATTTAACAGTGTATATCCACCGACATCCAACTGGTTTCTTCCCATGGTAGAATTCTTTTTCAAAGCTTCCATTTCAATTGCCATTGCTTCAGTCCATCTAGAATCTGTCACAGCATCCTGCCATTTACTTGGAACACATACAGTAGATAATTGATTGACAAATGATGCATATGACTTTGACAATCTATGAGTGGACACATGGTTATTGATGGGGTATTTAGATTTAGCATTAAGGTCAGTGCAATATTGAGGTTTAGGTTTTCCCCTAGTGGATCTAGGTGGAAGTGTATATGTTGCAACATTAGGTGGTTCAGTGGTTACCTCAAGTAGTTCTTCATCACTAGACGAATGATGCGATGGCAGGGCAGGAGGGGTTGTATTTTGTAGTTGATCATCAGGGGCATCTGGATCACCTTCTGGTTCCATAGTCTCAAGGTCTTCACTGAGGTCAGGACTGGACAGATCATAATTTTCTTCAGAATTTTCAACTCTTTGAAAAAGCGACCGGTCGCTGGGTTCTTCACGACTGGTCGCCTGGGGAATTTGAATTGTATTCGTCTCTGTGTAAAAATGACCGGTCGTAAATGTGTCGCGACCGGTCGCATGGGGCACTCCGCGACTGGTCATCAATGGATCGCGACCGGTCGCCTGGGGCACTTCATGAGAATCTTCAACTCTGTGTAAAAACGACTGTTGCGTAGATTCAGCTGCACCAAAATGGATTCAGTTGCATCCTCAACTTGTGATACTCGCAAGTGCACGAGCCGTTCGGTAGTATA